GATGAATCTTCCAGGACTCTCTTGATAGAAGGAAAGAACCAGTTCCACCTCCCCAACCCATATGGTGGGAGAAAACTGAATCCCAAAAATTATCTTCTGGTTTCCTTTGGACATTATACCATATTGAGTGAACATTTACACATACGCGCACAAATATATTTTAAACAAAATCACAGAAATAAGTATTGTAAAGCACATAAAAACTAGAATGCTTATCAGTGCTGATGGGATTATAAAATAGCATAAATGGGCTTAGATGTTGCTTAGTTAGTAGAGTACTTGATTTACATACCCAAAGCTCTGGGTATCAGCTCAACCCCCAGTACCATAAAAACCTGTAGTGGTGATGCGCCTCTGACCTCACAGAATTTGGGAGGTGAAAGAAAGGAAATCAGACTTTCAAGGGCACACTCATTCATAGCAGATTCATGACTAGCCTGGATACATGGTAATTTAGTAGTTAATAGCATTTCATGCTCTGCTAGTTTATTTAGTTCAGTTCTCTGCACCCATATCAGATAGCTCACAACAGCCTGTAACTCTAGCTCCAGAGGATGCAATGCCCTCTTCTGGCTTCTGTGGGCACTTGCACACATGTGGCATACATATTCACATTCATTCTCTCCCTCTCTTCACCTTTCCCCACCACTGTCAACCCTCCCCCATCTTCTCTCTCTTCCTAACACTTAGGAGAGGCAGGCAGATCTCTGAGTCTGAGACCAGCCTGGTCTACACAGTCAGTTTGAGCTACACAGAAAGACCTTGTCTCAGGAAAAACAAAAATCCTGAACCTCAAAACATCTCTGGACCTATGGACTCAAGCATTTAGGATAGAGGATGGAGAACTACAGGCAAAAGAAATGAAAGCAAAATCTGCACAGAACAGGTATGTGATACATTTCTGTAGTACCAGTTCTCAAAGGCAGACCATCCTAGTCTACACAGTAAGTTTTAGGCTGGTCAGGGCTATAGACATAGCAAGGCTGTCACAACAATAAAACAACAAACAAAAACTCGGTAATACTAAATTTAAAAATCACTCAGTTGAACATTTTAAGTGGATAAATTATATGGTATGTGAACCATATCAAAATAAAGCACTTTTTCAAAAGAACTTAATCAAATCCTATTACTCACTGGTTTAAAGACTACAGAGCTATTTGTTAGGAAGACCCAAATCCCTGAGCAAAGGAGCCTATGCTCTTGCTCCCTCCAAATGACAGCTGTTCCCAACCCCCCCAAGCACCCCACCACTGTTATTATCTAACAGCATACTCCCTTATTAGGTCCAGTCTTCCAGTGAAACAAAGTTAAAGAAGCTACAGTACAGTATAAGGCGTGGCACTAAATTTAGTACTCACACTCTATACTTGGCAACAGAGCCCAAATTTTCATTAAAACAAATCACACAATGGACATATACACAATAAATGTTAGGTCTCTGTTAATTTCCTGTCTTACTCTTCTGACCCACATTTAAAAGAAGGATTTTCCTGCTCTTATGGAATATTATTTTAAATGTTTCTGAGGGCTGGTGAGATGGCTTAGAAGACCTGGGTTTGAATCACAGTTCCTACACAGTGGCTCTAAGTTCCTACATAGTGGCTCTAAACAGTCTGTAACTCCAATTCCTGGGGGTTCATCACCCTCTCCTGACCCTCTGGGCAGTACACACATGTGGTATACATACAAAAAAGCAGGAAAAACAACATATGCATAATAAAATGTGGTTGGTAAAACAAACCAAGCCAGGTGGGAAGTGGTGGTGGACACTTTTAATTCCAGCACTTGGGAGGCAGACACAGAGGTAGGCAGATATCTGTGAGTCTGAGGCCAGACTGGTCTACAGATTAAGTTCCTGGACTGCCAGGGATGTTATACAGAGAAACCCTGTCTCAAAAACAACTACCCAAACCAACCAACCAAACAAACCAAAACAAACAAACCAAGCCTACCACCTACTATTAGAGCTTAAAAACATCACAGCCAGGTGTAGTGACAGGCTCCTGTAATTCTAGCACTTGAGAGATAAAGGCAGAAGGTCTGGAATCCAAGATTTTTTTTTGGAGGGGGGGAAGCAATCACCAAACTGAAAAGACTACTATGGTAAATAACAAATGCTTCTTTCTTCACCACATATAAAATAGGCATGGTGACACATACCAATAATCCAGCACCTGGGAAGCTGAGACAGAAGTGCAGTGAATTTCTAGGCCAGTATGACCTACAGAAAATGAGGAACCTGCCCCCAGCAAAAAGAAAAGGATTCGTGCTAGAAGACAACTCGGGTACACAGCATACCTATCACCTGTGGGAGACCATGAGCTTCATTCCCAACACCACAAAAAAACAACCAACAACAAAAAGCTGGAGATAATAAAGACAAATTTTGGAAGATGTGGTGGTGTACACCATAATTCCAGCACTTGGGAGGTAGACCAGTCAAGATTACATAGCAACACCCTGTCTTTTTTTTTTTTTTTTTTTTTTTTTAAGACAGGGTTTCTCTGTATTGTTTTGGAGCCTATCCTGGAACTAGCTCTGTAGACCAGGCTAGACTCGAACTCAGAGATCCGCCTGCCTCTGCCTCCTGAGTGCTGGGATTAAAGGAATGCACCACCAATGCCTGGCTGCAACATCCTGTCTTTAAGGGATAGTGGGGATATAAAATTGTACACCCCCCAAAAAATTAACAATAATCTCTGAAAGATAAAATTTCAAACTGGGGGCCCCAAAGCAATACAGAGAAACCCTGCCTGGGGGAAAAAAAAAATCAAACGGGGAAGTGGTAGTAAGCACCTTTAATCCCAGCACTTGGGAGGCAGATCTCTGAGCTGGGGGCCAGCCTGGTATAAAGATTGAACCCCAGTATAAAGATTGAATCCCAGGGCAGTCAGGGCTACAGAGAGAAACCCTAACAAAAACAAAACCAAACAAAAAGTTAAAATTTCTTCCTGTTTGACTTACCTGTACCTTTTATAATGAACCTGCAACTTCTGTAATAAGAAAAGTATGTAGGGCCCAGTGGTGGTGGTACATGCCTTTCTTTATTCCCAGCAATTGGGAGCCAGAGGCAGGAGGATCTCAGTGAATTAGAAGCCAGCCTGGCCTACATAGTAAATTCCAGGACACTTCACAGGGCTTCACAGGGAAATCGTGTCTGGGGGATGTGGAGGGAGAGAAAAATAAAATAAATCACTCTGTCTTCAACTTTCACTATCTGCCCATCAGCCCAAATGTACTCCTTGTGAAATGGGTACCAATTCCTAAAGAATTTTGAAGATTAAAATGAACTAAGGATCATAATCAAAGAGTGAGTGAACGGACCAATTAGTAACTAACTGCAAAAAGATTTTTATAATGTAGGCTAACTAACTTCAAACCCAGAGTTTTTCCCATTCCATCACATCTTAAAGAATAAAGAACAGCTTCACTGGTCATTACAGTAGTTGTTTAGTTTAAAAAAGAAAAGGCAAAACAAGCAAACCTCTGGTAGGAGAGTGTTCTAAGAGCACTTGATGTAATAACCTTGGGCAAACAAGTCACTTTATTTTTTGAGGGCATGAGAAAATTGAGAGCACAGAAAAGATTTTCAACTATCTGTAACAGCCCCTCCTACTAATGGATCCTTGAAAAGAAAACCAAAGGGTAAGAACGAATGAAAGGAGTGGAGACCGATGCTCTGGAGCCAAGAGCCATTCTTAAGAGAAACAGGTGGTGAAGAAGGAACCACGAGGGACTATAGAAGCTTGACTGCTAGGGCAACAGCTCAAAGCTGCAGCTTTGCTTTATCGATAGCACTGCTTCAGTCTTTCCTAAGTCACAATCAGAAGCTGCATTCTCACTCAATAAAGCTAAAACATAAAACCAGTACTAAGAGAAAAAAAATCAGTGTAGCTGCAGTTTGTCCATTCAAATCTCCGTGATTTTCCAAGTACACCTGCTAACGCCAAAACTCGAAAAAATTAGAAGCAAGTCCAACTGAAGACACCTTCATTCTCACTAAAGATTTAAAGAGAAAATGAAACTGTGGGAAAGGTGAAAAGTGCAACTAAAACCTCTTCAATTCGAAGCCAGGGAAGAGACCTTTTAAAGGTGAAGTTCCTGTAAAGCGTGTTTGTAACTTCTTTACACCGCAGACACCATGAACAGACTCCATGCTCTTTAAAACCGATCAACAGCCTTCATACAGCGTTAACTCTGAGGACCACCAGAAAGATTCCGTTTTGCTAAAAGAGGGTCTGACCAAAATCTCCCTTTCCATCCGGGAATCTAAACCAATGAGAAGCTCCTTAAGAGCATATGCAATGGTCTGAGAGAATTAAAACAACCACCCTGCCGGAACCAACAACAACTAAGACAAGACCGACTTTAAATCCAAAGCCTAGCACCTAGCGGAGAAAGCGCATTCAAGAGCTGTCCGCGCTCCTGGGTGCGAGATTCGAGCCCTGCTACTAGGCCTTGACTGGGTGAGCACCTGATGTGGGGGTAGGGCGAGCTAGCTAAGGCGGACCCAGTGTGAGAACTGGGGGAGCTCTGGATGTTGGGGAAGCACTGCCTTCCAGGGGCGGGAATCTGGGGCAACCCTAGGGGTGGGCACCAAGAACACGTGGGGCGACAGGGTCAGGGAAGAGGCATCTCCGGCAGACAGCTGGGATCTCGCACAGCGGACCCAAAGAGGAGGACTTGAGTGCCGTGCAGGAACCAAGCCCTCGGGGCCTGGAGAGTGAAGGCAAAGGGCATGGGAGCCGGGGCAAGGCCACGAGGAGGGCGGGTCTCCCTGGGAGCAGGGGCACGCGCCGGGCGGACGCGAATGGGCCCCGAGTTCCCAGCAGTCCGCGGCCTCGTCCCCGGGGTGCGGGGAACCGGGAGCGACCGCGCCCGGAGGGCCCTGTGACCCGCGGCTGCCCGAACCGGACCCGCCCCGCGGCGCCTCCCTCCAGCCTCCCTCTTCCCTCCCTCCACCCCGCGGCCCGTTATACTGCGGCCGCCGCACTTACCAGCGGCTGCACCTGAGCCTGCCGCTGCCTCAGCTGCTGCCTGCGCCTCCGCAGCCGCCGCCGCCTCGCTGCTGAGGCCGAGTCCCGTGGGAGCCTCCGCGTCCCGCCGCCGCCGCCTCTGCCACTGCCGCCGCCGCCAGAGCAGAACACCCCAAAATGGCGGCACTTCCGGCACCTACCACCGGCGGGGAGGGCCGCGGAGGAGGGGCCGGGCTGCTAGGGGGAACGTACCACTTCGGAGCCGCCCGCCAGAGCTGATCCGAGAGGAGCGCCGCGCAGGGGCGGGCCGAGTGCCGGCGCTGCAGCGCCCCCTCTGGCTGAGGAGTGGAGGAGCAGCCGCTCCGAAACCCTGGGGGCCGCGGGCGGAGCCCTCAGCCCTGGGAACTGCAGGGGCGCATCTCTTTGTCTCAGAGCTGTACTAGAGAGACAACCCGGCCTGGGAATTGAAGTTCTTGCCCCTGTGCACCGCACCTACTGGACGTCGGATGGGCAAGCACCGCTGCTTGCCGCTGAAAGTACTCCTAAATAAATATCTGATGAAAGAATGAGCTGAATAGTGCTTGGTTAGCCCTGGACACGGGGCACACCCTCCTTTTTGCACGCCAGAATAAAGACAGCAGCATCCAGGCCTTGCTTCTTTGCTAGTATGTGGAATGTGTGTTGCAAGCTTTTAGAGTTAGGGAAGTGCCTTGTACAGAGATGATGATCAGCGGTGAGCGTGCGCAATCTGGCAAAAATCCCTGCGGCACCAGGGAGCTCCTAAGTAGTCTATTAAGAAGCTACCCAGCCCAAACCTACTCTTCTTAGGAAAAATTAACATTTTTTAAAAAAAGATTACACACACACACACACACCTTTTATAAGATTCAGGATTCCTACCCTGGATCTAAATGGGTTCACACGTTACAATTTGTTTATTTCACAAAGTCTAGACAATGAAATGTGAGACAATTAAATTCACATTGAGAGACAAAACTTAGTTCTGGGAGGTCCGGGCTCCATCAATTTACAAATTACTCATGTGTTGGCAACGATTTCTCTTTATCACTTGGCTTCTTAGAGCAAATGATTTGTACACCCACAAATGACAATTATAGTCTAACACACACGTGTACACACACACACACACACACACACAGCAGGCCCCCAACCAGAAGCCAAGGGTTTTCTCATGAGCTGGAAGCACAAACACAATCATGTAGAACAAAACAGCACCTTAATTGTACATTATCAAATTACCTAATTGTACTGTAAACTTTTGGGGCTTTTGAGACAGGTTTCATGACCTTGAACTTCTGAGTGTCCTGTTTCCACCTCTGTCACCCATGCGTGACTTTATGTAGATTAAATTTAGAACTTTGTACATGCTAGGCAAGCATTCTACCAAACTGAATCACATCCTGCCACTGTAGCATAGTTTTGTATACATTCATGATGCTGAAAATGTAAGCTTGTTGCTGTCTTGTTTGTTTGTTGAGACAAGTACCCACTATGAATGCTGGGATCAAAGGCATGTGCCACCACCACCTGGTATCACCATTTATTGATTTGACTGTTTTGGTTTGGGGAGATAGGGTTCTCACTATGTTGACCACACTGACTTGAACTCAGTCCTCCTGCCTCAACCTCATTACAAATGAGCACCAGTATGTTCTGACAAAGGTTTGTTAGTTCATCCTTACCTGATCACCCTATTTTATTTTATTATGTATGTGTTTGGGTGTTTTGCCTGCATATATATCTGCTTCACATGCATGCAGTGCCCAAAAAGGCCAGCAGAGAGCTTCAGATACCCAGGAACTGCAGTTAACAGATTTTTGCCAGAACTGGAGTAATAGACAGTTGTGAGCTGCCATATGGGTGCTAGAAATCAAATTCCAAGTCCTCTGGAAGAATAGCTGGTGTTCTTAACCACTGAGCAACCTCTCCAGCCCATGACATCATTTTAAATCACACACGTGCACAAACGCAGGTCAGGAGAGATGGTGTAGCCTGCCTGCCACCAAACCCGCTATGGAATTCAATCCCTGGGACCTACATGATGGAAGGAAAGAGCTGACTCCAGGATATTGTCCTCTTCTACATGTGTGCCCACACACATACACACAAATAAATAAATAAATGTTATTGTTTTTAACTTTACTTTTATTTTTATGTGCATTGGTGTTTTGCCTGGATGTATATCTCTGTAAGGGTGTTGAATTCCCTGGAACAGGAGTTACAGATAAATGTGATTTTAAAAATTAAAAGTAATAATTAATATTACTAAGGGTACAAAGGGAGTGAGAAAGTTGAAATAATAATAAGGAAATCTAGTAAGGTTATTCTTCCCAGATTTCAAATTGCCTTTTTGTCTTCATGTTGTTGGTGATGGGAATAGGGTTGGAGGTGGAAAGTGAATCAGTTACATGTAAAAGACTAGGTTAGGCCAGGCAATGATGGCCACGCCTTTAATCCCAACACTCAGGAGACAGTGGCAGGCAGATCTCTATGAGTTTGAGGCCAGCCTATACTGTTTCACAGAGAAACCCTGTCTCTGAATCTAACCCCAACTAAGACTCCTAGCAACAGGGGACATATAGCCTGAACTAGCCATCTCCTGTGATCAGGCAAGACTTCCAGTGGAGGGACTGGGGCCAACCCAGCCACACAACCTTTGACCTACAGTCTGCCCTGTCTATGGGATGTGCTGAGGTGAGGGTGGCACTGAGATTGTGGGAATGGCCAGCCTGGTACCCATGCCCACCCCTCACTGCAGGGAGTGCCAGGACTCAGAGGCTGGATGACCAGGAGACCTAGGATAGAACCAAACACTATCGGAGGGGGGGGGGAATGTCAACACAATACTGCTATACTCATATATTGTTGCCTAGCCCAATTGTTTTCATGCAGTGACTGATGGAAACAGATGCAGAGGGTCACAGCCAAACATTAGGCTGAGCTCAGGGAACCCTGCAGAAGAGAGGGAAGAAGGAATGTGAGCCAGAGGGGCCAAGGACACCACAAGAAAACCCACAGAAACAACTAACCTGGGCTCATAGGAGTTCAGAGAGGCTGAAACAACAACCAGGGGTCCGCATGAGACTTACCTAGACCCTCTACTAATATGTGACAGTTGTATATCTTGTTTACTGGGTGACTCCTAACAGTGGGATCAGGGACTGTCCCTAATGCTTTGGGTGGATCTTGGGAACCTATTCCTCATACTGGATCGCCTTGCCCAGCCTTACTACAATGTGAGGTGCTTGGTCTTACTGCAACTTGGTATGGCATGCTCTCATGCTTTGTTGATACCCATGGAGGAGTGGGGGAGGGGCAGAGAAGGAGGTGGAGGAATGGGAATAGGAAGAATGGAGGGAGGAGAAACTTCAATTAGGATGTAAAATAAATAAATGAATTTGTTTTTTAGAAAAAGGGTGGATCAGCCAGGTGGTGGTGGCACATGCCTTTAATTCCAGCACTTGAGAGGCAGAGGCAGGTGGATCTCTGTGAGTTTGAGGTCAGCCTGGTCTACAGAGAGAGGTCCAGGATAGCCTCCAAAGCCACAGAGAAACCCTGTCTTGAAAAACAAAAAAAAAAACAAAAAAAAAAAAAAGGATGGAAAAAGCAGGGTAGTAGTGATGCACACCTTAATCCCAGCCCTTGGGAGGCAAAGGCAAGCAGATCTCAATGAGTTCAAGGCTACCCTAGTCTACAAATTGAGTTCCAAGACAGCTAGGATTGTTACACAGAGAAACCCTGTGTCAAAAATAATAAGTTTGGGGCTGAAATAGTAATGAATATAGTGCCCATGGGACAACTAAGACACCTGAATCAATCACCAGAATCCACTTGAAAGGTCAGATAATCCCAGAACAGGGAAGGGGAAAACAGGTGTATCCCTGGAGGTTACTGGTCAAGCAGTCTAGCTAATCAGTGAATTCCAGGTCTCAGGAAGAGACCCTGTCCCAAAGAATAAGGCAGCTGCTGTGGAGAGATACCAAATACTGACCTGTGTTTCCTATATACATGCACATACACTTGGGAGGCTGTGGCAGAAGGATCAGGAGTTCAAGCCAGCCTGGGCTACGTGAGACCCTGTCCTAAAAAGAAATTAATTAATTAAATAAATAAAATTGCCGGGCCATGGTAGCACAACTTTTTAGACAGAAAACCTGTCTCAAAAAGGGGGGGGGCATTGGTGGCACATGCCTTTAGTTCCAGAACTCAGGAGGCAGAGACAGCCTGGTCTACTGAGTGAGTGAGTTCCAGGACAGGCTCCAAAGCTACAGGGTAGACCCTGTCTCTAACCCCCCCACAAAGAACCCAACAAAGGAAAAAAAATAAATAAAACAAAATAATATGTTTAATTTTGGGGGGTGGGGGTGTTAAGACAGGGTTTTTCTGTGTAACAACAGTCCTGACTATGCTAGAACTTGCTCTTGAACTCACAGAGCTCCACCTGCATCTGCCTCCCCAAATTCTGGAATTAAAGGCATGTGCTTCCATTGGCAGGCTAAAATATTTAATCTTAACTCAATAATAATCAAGGTATTCATATGTGAAGTATGCTAGGGATGAAATTCAATTGGTAGAAGGCTTAACTAGCATGCACAGATCTCTGGGTTTGATCCCAGCATTTGCATAACCCAGGTCTGCTGGTGCTGGTCTATAATCCCAGCATTAAAGAAACAGAGGAAGGAAGATTATACAACTTTAAGGCCAGCAGACTATACACAGCCAGTCATCTAAAGCTACATGTAGAGATCCTATGTTTAAAAAAAAGTCAAATGATTGTATCTCAGGCCTTTAATCCCGGCACTTTCAAGGCAGAGGCAAGCAGATCTCAGTGAGTTCGAGGCCAGTCTCGTCTACAGAGCTAGTTCCAGGACAACTAGGGATGTTACACAGAGAAACACTGTCATGAAAAACCAAATACAAAAAAACAAAAACAAGCAAACAAAAAAAGGGGGGGCATGGAGATGGCTCAGGGGTTAAGAGCACTGACTGTTCTTCCAGAGGACCCAGGTTCAATCCTCAGCTTCAACATGACAGTTCTCAACTGTCTGTAATTCCAGTTCCAGGGGATCTGACTCCTACATATAGACATTTTTGCAGGCAAAAACACCAATGCACATCAAATACAAAATACATAAAATTAAAAAGAAAGAAAAACAGACAGACAATAGGCTGGTTGACTTCTGATGGGTGTTTTTAAAAAACAAAATTTTTAAAAAATTAAAAGAAAAAATTAGGGCCATCAGGATGGCTCAGCCACATCTGATGATGACTCAAGTTTTATCTCCAGAACCCACATTTTTGAAGGAGAGAACTGACTCCTGTAAATTGTCCTCCATTGTATCAACACCACTAGACACACACATCACATACACAAACAGATCGATGAATGTATTAAAAACTAAACAGCTAGCTCTAGGCAGTGGTGGTACAAGCCTTTAGTTCCAGCACTTGGGAGGCAGAGGTAAGAGGATCTCTGTGAGTTCCAGGCCAGCCTGGTCTGCAGAGTGAGTTCTAGGACAGCCAGGTCTATAAAATGAAAACCTGTCTTGAAAAACAAAACAAACAAACAAAAAAAGCTGGCCAGGTTTGCTGATGCATGGCTTTAATCCCAGTACCCAGGGGGCAGAGTAAGCAGATCTGTGAGTTTGGGGCTAACCTTGATCTACCTAGTGAAGTTCCAGGGCATCCAGGAGTAGGTGGAAAGGCTGTGTCTTGAAAAACAAAACAAACAAACAAAAACAACTGGACATGATTGATGTACTCCTGGAATACCAGCACTGGGGAGGTAGAGGAATGGAAGAAGCCTAAAACAGAGGGTTTGTAAAACTTGAGATTTTTGTCTAAAAAAAAAAATGTTGGAAATTGTTGGTTGCTCAGTCAGACAGAAGACTTGCCTTGCATGAGTGAATATAAACTAAACCTAAATTTAGATCCCCAGAACCCACGTTAAAAAAAAAAAGAAAGAAGAAAGAAAAAGAAAAAGGATGGCAAAGACAGGCAAAAGCTCCCTGACCAGCTATTTTAGCCTACTTTGCAAAATTCCAGGCCAGTATAAGATCCTGTCTCAAACAAAATGTTGAAGACACTTGAGGAATGATGCTCAAATGTCAAAAAATGACATGGTGTGTGCATGCACACACACACACACACTCACACAAATGTACACATACACACATGAGCAGGCATACACACATACACAATGCCTATATACATTCCTATATACACAGAAAAACTTTCAAATTAAGCCAATGTGATTCTTACCACATTGGGAAATAAATTTATTTTTAATAATTTATTATAAAGGCTATTGCAAAGGATAGAGATGAACACACAATGAAAAGATACTTAGAGTAAGATTTGGAGGAAAAGCTGTGAAATTTCCATGCTTTTTCCAGCAGGCTACTCTCCAGGGACCTCCACATGTTCAGGTCTCTGGAAGCTCTTAAATAATTAAACTTAAAAGGCTGATCAAGTTGTGAGAAGCAGACATTCCTAATGCATACAAATATAGCCATACTGGAAGGAATAACTATTTACATTAAAAATATTTGCCTTGAGCTAGTAAGATGGCTCAGAAGGTGAAAGCCTTTGCCTCCAGCCTGATGTCACTTCTGCCTACACATTTATCTGAGTTTTATACTGTGTATACACATCTGTATCTACCCACACGTATACCATAAAAATTCACATCTAGTTATATGAAATTCTACAGAGCTGGGCAGTAGTGGCACATGACTCTAATTTGGGCACTTGAGAAGCAGTGGTAGGTGGATCTCTGTGAGTTTGAGGCCAGCCTGGTCTACAGAGCGAGCTCCAGGACAGCCAAGCCTACACAAATAAACCTTTCTCGAGGACAACAACAACAAAATTCTACAACGCTCATTAATCAATAGTGCATTTGTGCAATGAACAAGAAAGGATAAAGAGGCTCAAAAAGACATTACTAAGGCAAGGAAACAAGGAAACTTTGGGGTGGAAAGACTATGACCCATTGTTTTTATTAGGTTGATAGTTTCACAGGTATATACACACATCAGAATTAATTAAAGCATACACATATATATACACCTGGGTTTTTTTTTTTTTTTTTTTTTTTTTTAGATAAGAGTCTCCCTATGTAGTCCTGGCTGTCCTAGAACTCGCTCTGTAGACCAGCGTAGCCTCAAACTCATAGAAATCTGCCTGCTTCTGCCTTCCAAACCCTAGGATTAAAAGTGTTAACCATCATTTGTGGCCATAAAACATTACTTTAAATGTGCAGATACTCTATTTATATTCTATATGAGACAGGATCTCATATAACCCAAGCTGGCCTCCAACTTGACATGTAGCAGCTGAGGGTGACCTTAAACTCCCAATCCTCCTGCCTCTACCTTCCCAGTGCTGGTTTTACAGGTGTGTGCCACTTTATCTACCCTATGCAGTGGTGAGGATGGAACACAGGACTTAGTGCATGCTAGGCAAGCACTTTATCAACTGTCTTAGTTAGGGCTTCTATTGCTGTAAAGAGACATTATAACCATAGCAATTCTTTTGTTTGTTTTCCCAAAACAGGGTGTCTCTGTGTAACAGCCCTAGCTGTCTTGAAACTAGTTTTTTGTTTGTTTGTTTTGTCTTTGTTTGTTTGTTTTTGTTTTTGAGACAGGGTGTCTCTGTGTAGCTTTGGAGCCAGGCCTTGAACTCACATAGATCCACCTGCCCACCTGCCTCTGCCTCCGAAGTACTGCACCACTACTGCCCAGTGACATCACAACTCTTATAAAGAAAATGAAGACCGCAGGCCCTCACCCAACCCCCTGCTTTGGCAGCCATGAAAGGCTGCAGAAAAGACCCAGTAAGATGTAGGCCTCTGATTCAGCAATGTTGAGCTCCTGACCTTGCCCAACCTTGCTCTAGTCACTATGAAGCCAGATATCCTCCATGTGGCAAGGGCCTAATCAGAAGTTAGCTTCCAACACCTTCACACAGACAAACATGCAAGCAAAAACAGCAATGTATACACAATGGAAGAAAAATAATAGAAAAAAGAGAACATTCTCTTTTCTGAGGGAGAAAGTCTCACTATGTTGTACAGACTGGATTTATTTATTTATTTTTCATTTTATACACATGGGTAATTTGTGAGCCTAGTGCCCTCAGAGGCCAGAATAGGGCTTTGGGTCCCCTGGAACTGGAGTTGAGAGCCACCACCATATGGGTGCTGGGAGTCAAACCCAGATCCTCTGGAAAAGCAGCAAGCTGTAACCATTGAGCCCACCTCTGTGTCCCCAAGGCTGACTGTCTTTAAGTTTTGAACTCAAGGAACTCTCTTGCCTCAGCTTCCTGAATATCTGGGACTACAGGCATGGTGTACCTGGCTTATATTAGTTTTATTATTTTTTTCTTTTTTTGTGTATTTTTTCAAGATAGGGTTTTACTATGTAGTTCTGGCTGTCCTGTAACTCTCTATGTAGACCAGTCCAGGCTTGAACTCACACAGGGGTCCACCTGTCTCTGCCTCCAAAGTGCTGGGATTAAAAGCATGTGTCTCTATGATAGACTTGTAATATTTTTCTTCTAGTGAAAGACCTGCAATAGAGAAAAATAAAGACAATAGTGCTATGAAGAAAAATACTTTTCTTAATATTTAATATATACTTCTCATACTATTGTATATTCTGGTTTGGTCAGGTCGGGTTTGGGATTAGGAAGTAGGACTTAATTTTAAGGACATTCTAAGAGTGGTGGCAATGCCATTAATCCCAGCACTTGGAAGGCAGAGGCAGAAGTGTCTCTGTGTTGTGTTTTGGGCCAGCCTGGTCTACATAGCCATTATAAGGTCATTAGGGGTTACTTAGTGTGACACAGTCTTAAAAAAGAAAAAAGAAAGGAAAACATTAGATCGCAGGCCATCATTCTGGTTCTCTGTCAACAGCACCTCACCCCAGTGCAAGGTCGTCCAGGGCCTCCCTGGGTTTAGAGGAGTCTCTCCACCCATCCTTCTCCCAGGTGATGGGTGCACCCGGGATCCCCCCACCCCCAGAGGTCAGGGGTTGGAGAGAAGACCCTCCTCCCTAGGCAGGGTCACAGTTTCATTTCTCGTTGCCGTTGCAGCTCCCCCTCCCCCCGCGGCGCCTCTCCTTCGGAGCCATGGTGCCTGTCTCGGGAGCCCCGAGGCTCGGCCGGGACCGCGGGGACCCAGCTTCCGAGAGTCGGGAGGAGCCGGGCAGCCCGCAGCTCTCGCCTTCCGCCTCCTTCTCGCGGTGGCTGGCCACGAGCCCGGGGGCGGGCGGCTCGCCGCTACGCCTGGCGGGGTGGGGAGGGATGGCGGCGTCCGCGTGGCTGGAGGCCGGCTTGGCCCGGGTGCTCTTCTACCCGACGTTGCTCTACACTGTGTTCCGCGGGAGGGTGAGAGGATGGGCTCACCGCGACTGGTACCATCGCATCGACTCCACGGTGCTGCTGGGCGCGCTGCCGATGAGGAGCATGACGCGCCGGGTGAGAGAGGCCGCTGGGCCGGGCCGGGAGCGAGCCCCGGGCCTCGGCGGGCGCCCCACGGCCCTAGCTGAGCCCTCTCTTTGCTTCGGCAGCTGGTACTGGACGAGAACGTGCGCGGGGTGATCACCATGAACGAGGAGTACGAGACTAGGTTCCTGTGCAACACCTCGAAGGTGAGGACCAAGGGCCTGCCAGCCTGGGCCAGTACTCGGGTCTGTGAGGGACGCTGCGGGTGACTCTTGTCTCCCAGACGAGTGTCTGAGATCAGGTTGCCCTTCTCAAGCATTGAGTATGCGTATCAACTTAAATGGCTGCACGTGAAAAGCAGCCAAAGTTGATAAACCAGAACGAAGTCTTCCAGCCTGGAGCTCTGGCGACTCAGGTGGCTGAGGCCGGATCTTTTGAGCTCAGGAGTTCAAAAAGTGCCTGGGGCACTGTTTGAAAAAGGAAAGCGAGCTAATCCGGTTGGGTGGCTCACTCCTGGAAATCCAGCTAGCACAAGCAAGAGAAAAGGATTGCTGGAAGTTCCAGGCCAACTTGGAGATCTGCACTAGAGAGGACACAAGCAAGCCCTTCAAAATCGGGACCAGGGGTGTAGTTCTTTATGCACAGAATTGTACAAGTATATGTTACTTTGCATTTGTTATTTTGAGACAGAATCTAAAGTCGACAATGAACTTGATCTGATTATCTTGCCTCCACTTCCCAAGTACTGAGATTATAGGCATGTGCTAATCCACCCGTCTTGTGTTTGTAATTTTGGTAACTAAAATTGTGACTTAATGTGCCTTGTCTATTTAATTCATTCTCATCTTGAAAAGCACCTCCTTTTAAGAGGGCTTAGCTGGAACACTATGTAGGCAGAGGCCAGAAGATCTCTAAATTCAAGGCCAGCTTGGTCTACAGAGTTCCTGGGCATCCAGGGCTACACAGAGAAATCCTGTCCTGAAAAAAACAGAAAAAAAACAAAACAAACAGAAGGGATGTGGCTCATCCCTGTAATATAAGCAGTGTGTGTGTGTGTGTGTGTGTGTGTGTGTGTGTGTGTGTGTGTATCAAAAACTTGAGGGCAGCCTGGACTATATGAGCCTGTCTAAAAGCAAAGTCACACAAATAAGAAAAGCACACCCAGCTGGGCGTTGATGGCCCATGCCTTTAGTTCCGGTATTCGGGAGGCAGAGGCAGGAGGACCTTTGTGAGTTCAAGGCCAGCCTGGTCTACAGAGCTAGTTCCAGGACATGCTCCAAAACAATACAGAGAAACCCTGCCTCGAAAAACCAAAAAAAGAAAGAAAGAAAGAAAAAGAAAAGCACAGCCCCTCCCTGATTGGATCCCAGCACTTGGGGTGCTGAGGCAGATGGATCCCAGAGTTTGAAGCCAGCATGGTCTACACAGTGAGTTACAGGACAGCCAGGGCTATGCAGAGAAACCCTGTCTTGAAAAACAAAAAAAGAAAGAAAGAAAAAAATAAAAAGGAAAACTGCAGAGCAGACTAGGGATGTGTTTCAATTGATATAGGAAGCCCAGTTCAGAATAAAAACCAGATGTGATGGTGGTGCAGCACCAATAATCCCAGCACCAGAGGATCAGACATTCATGTTCGCCTGGGCAACATATGACTTCAAGACTAACCTAGGCTATATGAGGCCCTTTCTGAAAAAAAAAAAGGGGGGGGACAAAAGAGCATGTCACTGTTCCTTGAATTTCCCCAAGTACTGTCACAAGGTCTCAAGGTGTCATTAGCTATCAGTTAATACTCACTAATGTGGTCAGTTGTATAAAATGAGGGGTGACTGTAGCTACACAGACCATGTTTGGTCTCGATGTGAGGCACTGTCAATTGTAAGACAGAGTGTTTTCATCCCACTAGCCTAGAGATAAATTTCTAAGGCAGCAGTTGCATTTTAATTTGTCTAAGTATCTTCTGGCTGCCTTGCTAAATAGCCAGTTCCCATTCCAGTGCCCAGGTATTCTGACTCAGGACTCTTGAGTTCAGGAGTCACGTATTTAACAACTCTGAAAGTAGTTCTGGTTTGATTGACGGACAAGCCAATATGTGCTTCCAGGTTTTGTTAATTTGATTGGTGGGATTAAACTGGCCTTTGTGCACTCAAGTTGCATGGATTTGATAAACATAGCAAGGAGCTAGACAAGGAGGTGCACACCTGTCATTTTAGCACTTAGGAAGTGGAGGCTGGAGCATAACTCACAAGCATCCTTGGCTACACGGTGAAAATTGGGATCCAACCAACAACAGCAAAGAAGTAAGAATAGCTAGAGTGTATTTGAAGTCTTAAAGCAAAACAGTTGTCTAATGTAGCAAAGACTTTATTCCATTTTCTAGTTTAGTCTTAATATTACACAAAGGAAGGTAGGTGTCTTGTTTTGTTTTGTTTTTTATGGGGTGGAGGGGGATCTAATTTTGTAGCTTAGGATAGCCTTGAACTCCACTCACAGCATATCTTCCTGCTCCAGTCATCCTAGAGTTGGGATTTTAGACATGAGCCCCCACTCCTGTGTAAAGTGTGGTTTTAATTATAAGATAACCCTGTTTCTTTTACTATGTACCCCTCAAAATTGGCAAAAATTTATGTACTTATGACAAAATATATTATTATTGCCTACAGCTGGATCACTGTATAGGTCCCAAATAAGGCAAAACCACAGCTTGGTAACATGATTTTAAGTGGTGCTGGCAATCTGAGGGTTTCCTTTGCCAGGCACTACCCACTGAACTACATGCTCAGCTCCATCACTTCTGCAGCTGAATTTTTAACATTTGTTTTTATTGTTCTGATGTTTGTTTGTTTTGTTGTTGTTGTTTTGGGACAGTCTCACTATGTAGCTCTAGCTGGTCTGGAACTCTATGTAGATTCAAATTCATAGATATCCTCGAACCTTGGCCTCCCAAGTGCTGGAGTTAGTGTTTGCCTGTACACCTGACTGAAGATTCTTTAATTACATGTCTGTGTGGGTGGATGCTTACAGATGACTGTAAGCCTCCCAGTGTGGGTGCTTGAAACTGAACTCAGTTCATGGGCAAGAGTAAGTAGTAAGTGCTCCTAGCCACTGCACTGTCTCTCCAGACCTATAGCTGAATTTTATGAATTTTTTGTAACTAAAGATTGAAACGTCTAGAGAATATTTGAACATCTCTAATAGCAACACATCTGCTTAATGGAAGGTCAGCTGTTTGGTTTTTTGTTTGTTTTTCAAGACTGGGGTTTCTCTGAGTGGCCCTGTCTGTCCTGGAACTTGATCAGGCTGGCCTCAAACTCAGATCCACCTGCCTCTGCCTCCTGAGTGCTGAGATTGAAGCTGTGTGCCACTGTAGCCAGCCAAGGGTGGGCTGTTTTCAAGGCATTTCTGTGGTTGTTTTTTTTCCCCATTGGCATTTCTGTTTTACGAAAGAGTCACATGAGTCACATTATAGTAAACCCTGGAACTTGCTTGCTGTTTTGCTTGGGGACCCTCTCTTCACCTCAAACTTCTTTGATTTTCCTTTTTATGCTGGTGGACCCGGTTTTAGGAATGGAAGAAAGCAGGAGTTGAGCAGCTACGGCTCAGCACAGTTGACATGACTGGGGTCCCCACCTTGGCCAACCTCCACAGAGGAGTCCAGTTTGCTCTCAAGTACCAGTCATTGGGCCAGTGTGTCTACGTGCATTGTAAGGCTGGGCGATCCAGGAGTGCCACAATGGTGGCAGCATATCTGATTCAGGTAGGAGAAGTATCCCTGGAGTAGCCTCCGTATAGATTTCCAAAAGTTTAGTAGCATGCTTTCCTGGCAGGCCTTCCTGGAGAGAACCATTGTCCATTTCCAATCTGATAGAAGGTAGTGTGGCATGGTGCCAAACACCCCATTCTTGTGCACAGGCCAGCTTCTGGTTCTGCCCTTACAAACACGGATTATCCTCTGTGATGCTGTCTTTTTAGCTTAAATGTGACAGGAAACTTAATGACAAGTTATGTCAAAGTGCTTGCCTACAGTAGGCCTAAAAGGAAAAAGAAAAAAAAAAAAAAGTTTTAAAGAGTGTTCAACCCAGCAGAAGATTAGAAGATTGGAAAATTACTTTTTGTTTGAGGTTGTATGAGATAGTATCTGGTTATGAGCCCTGACTGGCTGGGATTTCACTATGGAGACTAGAGTAGTAGTGCCTTTGTAAATGAGGCTTGCAGCAATCCTCCTGCCTCTGCCTCCTGAGTGCTGGGATTACAGGCATGCACCACCACACCTGGCCCAAATGTTTGCTTTAAATGGCATGGCAAAGGGCTAGCTCAGTTAGTAGAATGTTCGTCTAGCATGCATGAGGCCCTGGGTTTGATCCCCAACACTGCATAAAACTGAGTGTGGTAGAACATACCTGTAATCCTAACACTTGGGAGATGGAGGTAGGAGAATGAAGTTGAATGACATCCTTAACTACAGCGCTATATTGTGAGTTCAAGGCCAAAAACAGCAGGTCTGAAAGCTTAGTGCTGATCACTTCTCTGTCTATGGCATTTCAGAGTAAAGCTCTAAACATTAGTTTTTGTTGTTTAATACTTAGTATGTGCACACCTGGGGATACTGCTCAGTGGTAGAGTGCCTGCCTGCCTGCCTGCCCAGCATGTGTGAGGTCCTAACATTATTCCCTGATACTGGGGGAGAAAAAAGAATTTTTGATTGGCAGACAGATACTTTAAAAATATTTAGAAGCAAATGTTCTAGAGTCCTTTATCATTTCCCTCTGTCTTTCCTTTTCCAGCTTGACTCATCTTTGCTGTTATTCTGGCTCTTGCATAGTATTTCCAGTCAAGTGGGTAGTTTAAGGAAATGCAATAATCAGCATAGCCCTGTTAATGTGGACTATATGTGATTGAACTACATTTTTCATTATAACCATAGCTTTCATTATAAAGATTCTGCTGGAAGCTGGGTATGGCTATGCATACCTGTAATTGGAAGCAGAGGATCTCTGCAATTCTTAAGGCCACACTGCTCTAAGAGTTATAGGTCAACCAGACAATATTTAGTGAGACTCTGTCTCAAAGAAGACCATAAAGAAAAAAACCTGCTGGGAGTAATCTCAGGATGGTATTTGGGTCCAGATGAGAACTGATTCAGAAGGCTAGAACTGTTTTAATCCTGTAGAGTTCTAAATCAGTGTGCATCCCTAAAACAAAGCCGGGTGGCGGCGGTGAATGCCTTTAATCCCAGCACTGGGGAGGCAGAGATAGGCAGATCTCTGTGAGTTCAAGGCCAGCTTAGTCTACAGAACTGCTAGTTCCAGGACAGCTAAAGCTGTTACACAGAGAAACCCTGTCTCAAAATACCAAAAAAAAAAAAAAAAAAAACCACAAAGGTAACTAACCTTCCTAAATTTAAAAACTACTACTTTTTCTACCTATGGTGATGAATTTCAGAAAAACATCATATGGTTTTAGAAATTAATGTTTGTGTGTCTTCTGTCAGACTCTCATATAGCCTAGGCTGGCTTCAAAGTCAATTATGTCAGTGAGGATGACCTTGAACTTCTGGCCCTCCTGCCTCACCCTTGTCACAGATGTGAATCAAGGCACGCAGAGTGTATGGTCTTGGAGCTTGAATCCAGTGTTTCACTCAGACCTGGTAAGCGCTTTACCACTGAGCTATACCCCTAGCCTACTTTTAGAAATTCTTATTAAAATCCCAGCTCAAAAAGGACAGAGTAGACCTAGGAAATCTGGGGTCTCAGCTTCATGGGTTCAACCCCCCCCCCCCACCACTATTTGGCAGAGTACCAATAAACAGGATTGTAGGATTGGTTGACTGAAGTAGTTAAAAGTGCTATCATGGAAGATGTCCTTTTGTTCTTGAGAAGATATCTGCTCTTACTGTGGCTGGTGTCAAACTAACAGTCCTGTGCTCATGTGATCTCCAGCATACCACACTCAGCAAAGGAACCTTTTTTTAGTCCTGGGCATTGAACCCAGGTGATTTAAGCATATTAACCAAATGCTCTATCATTGAGCTATATCCCTAGCTCTCTTTTTACTAAAACATCGTTTCGCTAAGTCACCTGGGCTGGCTTAGAACTATAACTCAGACAAGCTTTGAAGTTGTGGTCCTGTCTTAACCTCTTGAGTAACTGGGCTTATAGGCCTGCACCTCTCAGCCTAGCTGGAACATGATTTTCTTTTTCTTGTTGGGAGAGTGGGTTTCAAGAGAGGGTTTCTGTGTAGCTTTGGAGCCTGTCCTGGAACTGGATTTGTAGACCAGGCTGGCCTCAAACTCAGAGATCCACCTGCCTCTGCCTCCCAAGTGCTGGGATTAAAGGCATGCACCTGCACCACCACTACCACCACGGCTGGCTGGAGCATGATTTTCAAAGCTCAAACCTTGGTTACAGTTGTCAGGCCTGGCAGCAAGTACCCTTACCTGGAGAGCTACCTTGGCAGCCCAAGTCTTCTTAAAAAGTCTCTGGAGTCCTCCAGCCCCTGCTCATAGGCCAAGGGCACCGTTATGCTTGCCTCTTCCTTTCTTGCTCATTTTCTCACCTTGTACTTCAGGTGCACAAGTGGAGCCCAGAGGAAGCTATAGAAGCTATAGCCAAAATCCGGTCACACATCTCCATCAGGCCTAACCAACTGCAAGTTCTCAAAGAGTTCCACAAGGAGATTACTGCAAGAGCAGCAAAGAATAACTGATGACAACTCTCACACTGACATCTCAAGATTGTGAAGTCTGGGGATGACAAAGAACTTGGCTCTACCCAAGTAAAAAAGTTTAAAGGACAAAGGGGCTTAAGCCAGAACAACACCCAAATATGCTGAGTAATAGATAATGTGCCTCCTTTGCCTTCCTTCCCTGAAATAACACTGTCAGATGGCTACAGAGAACAGGATTGTCTGGCTAAATCTTACTTTCTTCAACAGGGTCAAGGAAATATTAATTTTAACAGAAATCTATTGTGTATCTGATATTTTGTGTAATGACACCATAACACGTTAAATGCTAGAAAAGGAAAGAATAAATACTCAGATCTGTTCTTTGTTACTATCAGAATCCCAATATCAATTGTATAACTTGGCAAAATGCTTGCCCAGCATGTATAAGGCTCCGAGTTTGGTCTCTAGCACTCCCAAAAATAAAAATACCCTAATTTCCCTGACCCTGTGGGACTCCCCTTACACTTCTGGAGCAGTGATCAGAATGTAAAAGCATGTATGGGGTGCAGGCACGATTGCTAACTAAGGAATGTCTATAATGTCACCTTCTCAGGAGTCAACACACACACATATCACTTCAAAAACTTTTATTTGTACGAACAGTTCCTAACTCTTGATTTAGCTCAGAGCTTTTAAAAGACCAGAGATGGTATATATTTGAGTTTGGAAAAGTTTCAGCTATTAATCAGAAATAATTGTTTCTACTTTCTGGCTTATCTATTCATATAAGCCAAAAAATCAAACCCAAGTTTCTTTTCCTGACAGACAGATGAGAAAACATTAAAAGGAGCATCCTGAATTCTAGAGTTGATTCTTGCTGGTGAAGTACATTTTCAGTTTAGTCTACTATCCCTCTAAATCCTGAAGGAAAACTCTTAATACTTAATTCTTTGTGGAAAAGTGACAACTAGCCACTTTGCTGGCTATAGACAAAAAGGAATGGGCCTCTTTTTGCACGGGAACCAAGGTGCTTATATTAACACTGATCTGGTAAGGGGAGGCTGTGCCTAAGTCTGAGAAGAGGCTGGCTCTAAGCAGTCTGAAGTGAGGCACGGGGCCACGGGGATAATGGCAGAGTTCGAGCAACCACCTGAGTAGCAGTAGTGTGAAAAGCCCTAAACAGAGTACCCCATGAGCCTGGGGATGGGCTGAGGTGCTGCCTTCCTCATGTACCCAAACTAACACATTACTCTGAACCAGGGGATTTCAGGTTTGACTGGGGATGCACAGACAAGGGAAGAGCAAAGGAATCAGCTGTTCTCCCATCACTGTCTTAGGCTAACACAAACTGCAAATTGGTAAGCAGCACCTTAATGCCTTTTGTGACAGTTACAGCTGAAGTAGCAGGGTCGAGCTTATAGGTGTTGGCATCTCCCTTCTTATATCGATCCCTGAAGACATAGATGCTTCCATTGCAGCTAGCAATCTTCCAGAGGGATGGGGCAGAGCTCCAGGCCTCAGGAAGACAGAGCCGGGTGAAGCTGTCTAGAAGAGGATTATAGCACACCAGAGAGTCCCCTTCAGCCACAATGAACACTAGATCTTTATGTACAGCTGCATGCATGCAGCCTGCAAAGGGCAATACATAGGGCTTCACGTGACACTTGTCAGTCTCTGTGTCAAAGCACTGGATAAGTCGGGAAGGTTTGGTAAAGAAGTCTAGATCATTCTCCTCGCCCCCTAGTAAGTAGATGATTCCATTGAGGTTGGCACCAGCAGCCCCAGATACAGCCACCTCTAACTGAGTTGTCTCTGTCCACACATTATCACCTACCCGATAGTAGATGACTGCATTGGAGAGGGTATCCTGCAGTGTCTTGCCACCCAGTGAATATATGGCATCTTTCCCAGGCACTGATACCAGGGTATGCTGGAGGTGGTCCCGGGGTAAAGGAGCACACCACTCCCAGTCAACGGTGGCATTGTTGCATTTCCACATACGCCGTGGGATGGACCCTCCCACGACATACAAGTCTCCACCATGCTTGCAGGCTGCAGTGATTTGGTGGCACAAGCTATTTTGGCCACTTACACTGATGGAGTCATCTTCTGCACAATGCAAGGACACAGCCAATGAGTGGGTGCGGGATGACTCTTTCCCGATAAGGTAAATGTGCACATTCTCCCCAATTTCCTGTTGGCAAAATTGAAATTTTGACATCAGCTCATGTGAAGACTGCTAAGACAGGTATCCTTAATGGTCTGGCCTCACACATCTTGCTCCAGTTAGTAGTGATCATCCTGACTTTTTTCTAATTACTTTCTTCTAGGCATTTTATGCAGGGACAGAGAATCTTTTGTTCGTCCCTGTAATTCAGCTCATTTACATATTTATTCAAATAAGATCTTGCTATGTGGCACAAACTACCCATACTTAGATTCTCCTGCTTCAGCCTTCAAGAGGGTAATCACAGGTGTGTACCACATCTGCTCTTACTGCTTTTTGTTTTTCAGTGTTAGTAATTAAACCTAGGACTTCATGATACAAGGCAAACATCCTAGAAACTGAATTATATTCCAGGTCATCCCCTGCTTTTTTGTTATTGCTATTATTTTTCCCTCAAATTGGGTTTCTCTGTGTAGCCTTGCCTGTCTTGGAACTCGCTCTATAGACCAGGCTGTCCTTGAATTCAGAGATCTGCCTGCCTCTGCCTCCCAAGTGCTATGATTAAAGGCTTATGCCACCACCAAGCAGCTAGACAAGGTCTTATATAGGCTAGGCTGGCCTTGAACCAACTGTGTGGCTGAAGCTGATCCTCCTGCCTTCATGCCCACCTCCCCATGCGTTGAGCAATCCCATCTAGCTAGAACTGTTAACTCAATGAAGAAAGCATCAAACCAGGCAGTTGGTGGTGCACACCTTTAATCCTAGCACTTGGCAGGCAGAAGCAGGTGGATCTCTGTGAGTTGGAGTCCAGCCTGGTCTACAAAGTGAGTTCCAGAACAGACAGGGCTGTTTTACTGAGGAACCCTGTCTAGAACAACAAAACAAAACAAAACAAAAACAAAAACAAAAAAAAAAAAAAAAAAGAAAAGAAAAAAAAAAAAAACCAAAGGAAGATAGCATTAGAGAAGACAGTAAAAGCTCCATGAGTTTCAAAGCTCATAGACTGATGGTTTCAGAGATCAGAAAACACATCTAACTCCCCAGTTTTTATTAACTTCAAGCTGGGACTAATCCATGGCTCTCAAAAGAGTCAAGGTCAGAGACTTGGAAGATGGCTTAGGTGGGCAAGGCCACTTGCTGTACAAGCATGACACCTGAGTTTGATCCTTGTGGTTCATGTGGTGCAAAGAGAACTGACTCCTGCAAGTTGTCCTCTGACCCCCACACAAACACCAAGAGACACACATTACCCTCTGTTAAAAAAAGAGAAGAGAAAAAGCCACTGCTGGCTAGCATGTACAGAGATTATGGCACCCCAATCCTCAAGAAATGTGCCTCACCTTTAAGCTAGTCCTGAGTGACTCTGCAAAAGCCTCTCTTTCTTCTTTATTGAAACTGATCCAGGCTTCTATTGCCTCTGTTGGGTTCTGGGAACATGGAACCCCATCTGTGAGAGCCAAAGGGAAAGCATGATCAACAACAATATCACTGGGTTTGATTTTGTTTTTGTAATGTTTTATGTGCATTGGTGTTTTGCCTGCATGTATGTCTTTGTGAGGATGTTAGAAGCCCTGGAACTGGAGACAGTTGTGAACTGCCATGTGGGTGCTGGGAATTGAACTTGCATTCTCCAGAAGAGCAGCTAGTGCTCTTAACCATGGAGCCATCTGTCCAACTGTGTTTTCTGTTGCTTGGTTTTTTAATTTTTGTGTGTTTTGTTTTTTCCTGGCACTCACTCTGTAGACCAGGCTAGACTCAAACTCACATAGATCTGCCTCCCAAATGCTGGGATTAAATGTGTGTGCCACTATTGCCCTTCATTAAAAAATATGTTATATGTTTTGCCTGCACATGTCTTTGCACCATATGCATGCTTGGTACCCATGATCAAAAGATGGCATCAGATGCCCTGGAACTGGAGGAAGGTTGTGAGTCACCATGTGGATTCTGGGAACTGAACCATGGTCCTCTGTAAAAGTAATAAGTCCAAGGGCAACAAGTGCTCTTAACTGCTGAACCATCCATCTATCCAGCCTCATCAATGACGATCTTAATGGGCTCTCAAGAGGAACCACAACTGGGCATAATAGCAAATGCCTTTAATTCTAGCACTTGGGAGTCACAGAGATCTCTCTGAGTTCAAAGCCAGCCTGATCTACATGGTGAGTTAAAGAACAGTCATGGTTTTGTAAAGAGACCCTATCTCAAAAAACAAAACAAAACAACTTGAGTCACTTTATTAGACCTCCATTATATGTATTTGTTTATTCATGTATCCAATTACATACATATGAAGGTAACTTGAAATTGCCCCACCATTAACATTTTGCAGTGCTGGGATCCAACCTAGGGTCTCATGTATACCAGGGAAGTGTTCTATGACCAAGTTACACCATGAGCCCTGGATTGCTTTTTAAAAGAAAAGTGGATGGCATAAAATGCCCCATATGCCACCGAAGTCACCTACCAGGCTATAGAGCGCACTCTAAAGTATAGCTCCACCCCACCTGCAGGGACAGAATTGTTACCTAAAGTTGGTGCCCAAATGTTTCCTATTTTAGATATCTCCATTCATCAGCATCTACACAATTTGTTTTAGTAAATACTCCTGTAGGCCTTCAAGGTACAGGGCACATGAAAACATCAGGCACCTCTCACTTCCTTTTGTGGAAAAGTGATACAGCTTTGTATTCTTCAGCTACTTCTCTAAGGCACTCTGTCTCTTAACAGCAGCTACACCCATTCTCAACCTCAATCTAAATCTCTACCAGAAATGATACTATAACCTAACAACAGTTAGTTACATAAACTTGCATGGGAGTTCTCCTGAACCAGAATATCCACTGAAAATCATTCCTTTTTTAATTTAAATTAGAAATCATCTTATTTTGCATATCAATCCCAGTTCCCTCTCCTTCCCATTCTCCCATGTCCCCCACTGACTCCCATCCCATCCCTTTTGTGCTCCATAGAAAAGGTGAGGCCTTCCATGGGGGATCATCAAAGTCTGTCACATCATTTGGCTAGGCTCTGCCCCTCTGAAAATCATTCTTGCACAGTTGGGTATGGTAAGCCCCTCCTTGGACGTACCTGAGATGATATCAGTGAGTAGACGGTGGGGCAAGTGGAGAAACTCCTCTGTGCTCTGCAGCTGGGCCAGATGGGTCTTGGCACAGTGTTTGGCAGCAGTGTAGAGCTCAGGATCACTGTGCCTATCTGCA